GCAGTGGGCAGTTTGCATTCCATAAACGTTTTCAAAGATAGTTTCTAGGTGACCAAGGTTTCTGCTGAGCAAAAATCTAATTGGAGAACATGATTGATGACTCTTGGCTATGGATGTGTCCCGTTGGAGAATATAAATTACGATACACCCAGGGGGTGGGAGGAAAACCAGGATCAAGGGTGACAATGAATTAGGTGTCTCAGAGTCGGCTACACCCAGGCAGTGCCACATCTTCTGACTCCCAATAAATCTTGTCGGATTTTGGCTAGAGACTCATGATTTAAATGGGGTGGTCAGAATCCTGACAATGAGGGCTTAGAGAGGGCTTAAAGGCACTGCAAAGCGGTATATAAATCTAAGTGCTACTGCTAATGTTAAAAGAAAGCAAAACTGGAGGCTAGCACGATCTTCAAAATGGAATCACAGCAATTTGTACTGACGTACTTATGGAACCACTAAAACGGTCAGGTTCTAAAATGGAACCACTAAAACGGCCAGGTTCTAAACTGCGAAAGCAATTGAAACAATTTAAAAGACATTTAGACAATTTAAAAAACACACACACTGTAAAGCAGCCTCGATGTTTACCTCGCCATGCTTAGTGAAGGTATCCTGCAAAGTTTGTTGCAGCTCTTTTCGGGAAAGTCGGTAATCCAGATTGCTAATCTGAATGTCTACTCCATTTGCAAATGGATCTGGGCAGTCTGTACGGCTGGAAGAGCTTGTGGCGTTCAAAGTGAGCGGAGAAGACCTGTTCGAAACGTTTGGAGACACGCTCCTGAGGCCGAGGAAAGGAAAGGAAGAGAATCAAGAATCGTGTATATATATATATATATATATATATATATGGATACCCGTGCTTTCCTAGGGAGCTATGTGGTCAGGCTTAGTTTTGGGGGAGGAAAATAAGGGGGAAAAAAAATTCTGCCTCTGCCTACCAGCATCCATTGGTATTCATCTGGCTAGCGTCCTGTCAAGTGTGTGAGAGTTGAGGGCTGTTTGGAAACTGAAACAGTACTTGCTGTGTGAGCAAGGAGACAGCAAGGAGCTTGAGCTCCAACTTTTTACTTTGACATTATTAGTTTAAACTAGCTATTTCTATCGAATCCGTAACACCCAAAATTGAAAGTTTCTCTCCCCCCCCCCCCCCCCCCCGACCTCAAGCACCAAGTCCAGAAACGGTTTCCGGGTAGAAATAAAAGTGTTTGCAGGTGTTTTTTTTTTGCCTCCTTTGATCTAAGCAGTCCACTTAGCCACCTCTGCTAATCCCTGTCAATATTTGCACAGCTTTTGTCCTGGCGCACGCTTTGGATGAAAGCCAAAATGTGGCTTTTCCACTCTTAAAAACAAACAGCGCCCGGACTCGTGGTGCGACAACGCTTACCTGGATGACCAACAACTCTGAAAGATCAGAATGGGACTGTGCTGCCTGGAGGCCGTCAGCAGGTTGAAAGCTGAAGGGAGGCTGACTTGGAAGGCGTTCTCCTTCTCCTTCTTGTCCACTGGGGAACCGTTCCTGCTTCTGGCTGCCATCGTCTCTTTCCTGGGTGAAGAAGAAAGGCGTAATTAAGGCATTCAAACGGACAGAGAGCCTTCAACGAAAACCTGCCTTGTAGGTTCTCAACGTACTTTTGGTTGTTTTTATTGTGAGCGGGTTCTCCCGCTCCTGCCTTCTTGGCGGCTTGGGGAGGTGTGGAGCTTGCTGTGGCAGAAGTGCTGTGCGATGGAGGAGCTCCCTCTTTTAGCTGGTCCTGGCGACGTTCAGAGCTTCTTCCCGTTTTGGATTCGAGGCGACACAGTTCCTTGGAAAGGGAAGAAAAGAAAAGAAAGAAAGGAACAAGGAAGGAAGAGAAACGACGAAGGAAAACAAGGAAGGAAGTAGGAAAGAGAAAGAAACAAGGAAGCAAGGGTTGACCCTTATGATTCTTGACAAATGAATCTTTTCTTTTATGTACATTGAGAGGACTTGCACCAAGACAAATTCCTTGTGTGTCCAATCACACTTGGCCAATAAAGTATTCTTCTATTCTATTCTATTCTATTCTATTCTATTCTATTCTATTCTATTCTATTCTATTCTATTCTATTCTACTCTACTCTACACTACACTACACTACACTCTACTCTACTCTACTCTTATTGTACCCTAGGACTATCATTAAGCGTTATACCTGATGATTCTTGACTCTTGACGAATGTATCTTTTCTTTTATGTACACTGAGAGCATTTGCACCGAGACAAATTCTTTGTGTGTCCAATCACACTTGGTCAATAAAGAATTCTATTCTATTCTATTCTATTCTATTCTTCTATTCTATTCTAATTCTATGATTTGATTACTTATTGTACCCTATGACTATTATTAAGTGTTGCACCCGATGACTCTTGACAAATGAATCGTTTATGTACCCTGAGAGCATTTGCACCAAAGACAAATTCCTTGTGTGTCCAACCACACTTGGCCAGTAAAGAATTCTATTCTATTTCTATTCAAAAGAGGTGTAAGCCCGGAAAAGCACCCTACCTGTAAGCTTTTAACAGCAGTGTTTTTGGGAACGGGCCCGTGTCCTTGAGGGCCTTTTGAGCCCGCCGCCTTGGTGGTGGAAGACGTGTCATTGGCTGTTCTGCTCATGAGGCACAGCTTCGCGTTTCGGTTGGCTTTCTTGGGAGACTTGGCTTTCTCTGCCATGAAAGAGCCTGCGTTCTTGGTTTCTGCCAGTTCTCGGTTTTTGGGGGTGAAGGAGACGGTGATCCTGTTGCCGAAGACATCTTCGTTCTCCATCCGCTTCTGGGCTCGCTCGGCGCTGTCTTGGCTGAGGAAACGGAGGGTCGCACTGCTGCCAGAGACTGTCAGGACTTTCCCGCCACAATTGTCCGACAGACGCCGAAGCCTCAGGCAGATGCTTTTGCTATCTCGGTTGGTGGGCAGGTTGTAAACATATAACAGAGTATGACACACCTGTTTCAGAGAATGAGAATAATAATAAGTTAATAATGAATAATAATGAATAAATAATAATGAAGTTGAGCAACTTTGGAAAAAGAAACCGTGTGTTATCCCAATTGTATTTGGAGCCCTTGGAGCAATACCTAAAGGGCTGCCTCGCTATTTGGAAATCCTGAATTTATCAGACTTGAACACCCTGATTTTACAAGAAACCACCCTAATTGGAACAGCTTATATCCTCCGACACTACCTGAGCAGTCCCTAGGTCCTTGGTTAGGACCCAAGCTGTTGAGCTACCAACCAGCCCCAAAGGCTGTGAATCTCACTAAAGATTAAATAATAATAATAACAACAACAACAACAAAGTCTGGATAGGGGATGTGGAAGTGCCTGGAGACAGCAGAAGAGAAGAGAAAGAACTGGAGTGTCAGCCCAAAGTCATCCGCGGGCTGCCATTCGGGGGGCGGGCCGGCCGTGGACATTGCTATGAAGCCCTGTGACTCTCGATCATTTAGTTGCTGCAAGCCTGCAGGTGAAACTCGAGAAGAAGAGCTGAGAAGGAAATCGCATAGGACCGACAGCTGGGGGCGAGCTCTTCTCGGGAAGACTAACTGAGCTTGTGCCTGCTGGTCAAATAGAGTCAAATAAGCAAGAAGTGCCCCTTTTGTACCTCCAACTTTGCCCCCGATGTCCAGGTTACCTTCGGCTGGAGAAAAAAAAAATCTCCCAAGAACAGTCTTTAAGTGGAGGAAATTTAGTCCGAAAACAAAGTACATACAAACTGTAAATAAAAATCCACACAAACCACTGCTGTGGTAATTAACTCGACAGGGCAGGAGAAGGAATTCCAGACTTGAAAGCCCAGCAAAATACACAACAGTTGGGAAGACACCAGGAACCCACATAAGCCTCGACAATACCACATAATTTACGATTTGCTCTCAACAACTTTCTGCGGCTTCCCTTTTTAAACAGTGTTCCCAGGTGCAGCTAATGAAGGGAATCGGGGCCCTTTCCTCCCCCGTAAGCCACACAACTCATGTTGCTCCCTTCTCCATTCCTGTGCCCTAGGATGAAGAGGGGGTGGGCCTGGATCTTCCTCCGAATTCCCTCTCCCTTGCTCTACCTCTCCCCTCCTCTGCCCAGCCGGCCTTGCCTTTCTTCCACAGACAACAGAGCCACACTTCTACTCCCTGTCAGCTGCTCAGCCTCCCCCTCCAAATCAGATTCCGACAGGGGCATGACACTGTACTTGTTTACTCGCCTTTCCAACTTTATTTCCACATCAACAAGTGCAATCAATAGGTGAAGCAGGTGGGATCTGTGTGACTGATTTAACGCGAATGCCTGTTCTGCCCCTCGTGACGTTTCAAAGCCTTACCATTAAATGGTCACTTACTGTTTTCTTTAAGGGTAATCTTGGAGGCAAATCTGAAATAAATTCTTCAAATCGGATGAGCTCGTGGGCGTGGTGCAAGAGTGCTTCGGAAGCTTTGTTTTTATGAACCAAGATGATGTGGAAACCATGGCGATGCCTCAAGTCGCTGAGTTCCAGTGCAAAATTGACATCAGCTGAAAAAGAGAGCGGCCAAAGCAAAGCCAGTGATTTTTTGGGAGGTTCTGATGCGGGATGCAGAGCAGTGCATTTTTCACAAGCATCTGCAGGGCAACTTCGGATGGCAAAATGCTGCGTTCAAACTTTGCTCCTTGCTGTATTGCTTACTTCAAACAAAACCAGCCAAAATTCATTACAGAAAAGCAACTATTAAAACTCGGGATCATTTCAAAGTGATAGGAGAAAAGAAAAGAAAAAAAAATCACCTGGTTAGTTATTTCTCAAGATTGAGTGGAGTAGATAGATAGATAGATAGATAGATAGATAGATGGATGGTAGATAGATAGATAGATAGATAGATAGATAGATAGATAGATAGATAG